GTGCACACATCTGTAGCACAAACCCAGAGCTGGGAAATTCCAGTAACTTGCCCCAGCCCCAGGGCTGCATTTTTCCTATCACCCAACCCTTATTAAGCTATCTTTAGGCACCCAAACCCCACACCTGAGGACAGACAATCCCAATGCACCCAATGCACCCACCAACCACCCTACCCACAGATGCTTCCCTTCAAGCCAGCAGCTTCTTACTCCTGCTGGGCCGCAAGGCCAGGCTGCAGTAGCTGCTGGTATCCACTGGGGAGCCAGCATTTTATTTTTAGTAAGGTTTTTTTTCGCAGTTTCTGTGAAAATCACAAAATCTCAATTTGAGTATGTCCAGTATATATTCAGAACATAATTCCTTATTCCTTGAATTGAGCACAACACTTCCAAGTCATAAGCATACTCTACCACATTGGGGAACTGAAGACAACTAATCAAACTGCATTTTCCTACAGGGTACACATAACTCAGGATGTTGACACCATTTTTCCCTGGTAGTAAAACCCACACCAGGGAACTGAAGACAAGCATAAAATCATATTAAATTTATGGTTTAAAATGCAAGGAAATCCCAGATAAAGATAAGGTTAGATGTATGGAATCCATAAGCCAATTTTATACCATCAAATTCAGTTCAAAGAGCATCTTGTGAAACATTGCTACATGCACAGGTAGGCACTCACTCAACACTCTTCTGAAGCCTCTACCTAACTATATCAGTACTGCAAAACTACTTAGCTTGCTGTCATTAGTTGCTGGTTCCTCTCAGAGTATGGAGAAGGCACTAGTTCTTTATGGAGCATAAATCCTTTAAGTTTTTGTGTGGCTTGTCCACCATTTTGGGAGAAGGCATGCCAAGTCACTTAAGGACTGACCAGACCTCAAAGAGCACTTGGTGTCCATGCATAACGTGGAACCATTTCATCATGAACTTGTTCAAACTAGTCCTTGATTTTCTAGGTAGATTTTTGAAATCTTTCAGGTGGATTTAAATCAGCTTAACAGGTTTGTATGTCTGCCCGCCTCAAGTTTAATCCACATTTAAACTGTTCTAAGTGTTATGTACATCAATGACCTTAGTGTAGATCCTTTCTGGGCCCTTCTTTAGGTCCCAGCAACATTAAATAGCATAAATAATTCATACAGGGGAAGGGTAATTATAGAGGAAAAGAGAAACATCCCTTTTAGCTCTTTCCTTTTGTGACTAGATTCAGCATGTCATTTTAAAGGCATTTTCTTTCTTCTACTGCATGTTTCAAAGTTTTTAGACTTCCTACAGTTTACCCTGAAAATGATTGTATTATACAATCATTTTTTGTGGAGTAACTGATGAAAATTATGTGATACTAGGAACTTAACTGTTGCATTTAGAACTCTATTTCATAATACAATGAATTATGATTCTGTGAACTTTTAACATTCTGAACAATGAGGAAGGTGAGAGAAAAATATCACCTTTCTTTAACTGGTCCCTAAGCAAATGAAAACCAGAGTAGTTTACAGGGACTGAACATTTTCAGTACAACTTTAGATTGGTTCTGTTAAACTACACTTCTCAGTCCGCTGGTTTGTACATTATAATTACAGCTATACAGATGCCAAGCACATTCAATGAAACTCTAATTTACACTAGGAGCTGGCAAATTGGTGCAGGTAAACTGAGGAGGAAATAACTTCAGCCCAAACCTGGAACTAAACTAGAGCCTTCTGCCAATTTTTGGATTGCTCTGGTTCCATTTTATTTTTAAAGCTTCTCAGCCTTTTGCACATCTCTCCAGCCGGTTGCAAGACAGTTTCCTTCCAGATCCATTATCATCAAAGCAAGTCACTTAATTTCACCCAAATCCTGCCAATATCTAAGGTGAGCATAACATAAAATTTCATGACTATTCTACAACAATGCAGTCTACAACAGTTGGAATGAAATGAAACTGGGGTACTTGACATTTGATCAGAATATTTCTAGCAGGATTTTTGTCTGATCTTTGTCTTTTGTTGACTACATTCTTATTCTCCAAATTCTGAATGATAACAAGATGGCTTTTGCTTAAACTTAAGCACATGTTTAATTTCTTTGCTGCATCCAGGGTTAAGTACTAAGCATCTTACAACCTGGATCTATTATATAGGAGAAAAAGACTGAGATGTAGGTAACCACTTCACTGCAAATCAAGTGTGATAAAAGAATGAGAACTATTTTTTCTGTAAAGGCCAGGATTAAACAAAGTGTGGAGGAGGAAACTTGTACCTGGTACCTCTGCTCCATGGGCTAGCATATGAATTTCTTGGTACAGTTTGGCATGAGCTAGTCAAATCTTTGTAGAGATGAGGGAGGTGGTCTGCAACTGGTCTGCCCTGTCTAAACATGCATTCTTTGGCACCTGAAGAATGGCATACAAAATGTGGTAGCTCATACTTGTACTCATCAACACTGCAGCTAAATAAGGATTGGCTCCTTCTCAGCTCAGTGGTAGGATTCAGAAGGTCTCTATGCCTTTTCTCCCCTCTGCTGCAGCAGCCATAAGAAACATACTCAGCTCAGGGGGAGTAACATTTTGGCAGGAAGATAAAGAACTAATCAAGTTGGGAGGACTATACCAACTTTCCAAATGGCGTTTGGGAAATGAACTGGTAGTCTTACCCAAGATCCTCAGTCAAGTATCCATCAATATTATAACGGACTGACATTATGGCTATACAACTCAATGTTTCCAAGGCAGTTCTGAAGTACACCAGTTGAACAATTTAACTTCATATGCTTGCACCATTTATGCATTATGTAGAGTTTATTTCTAGAAACTGTCAATCTGACATCTTTAATAACAGCTAAAATTTCTTCTTCAAATATTTAAAGCGGGATGACATCTTGTAAAAGCAAAGCACAGAACAACAATAGCACATTAATAGACAACCAAATGAACTGCATTTAATGGCTGCATTCAAATGAAGCATTAACCTGCTTAACAGTGCTTAACAGGCACTTTTGTATTTTTAAGTACTTTGACTTGCCTTGATAAATCAGATTTTTCTGAGCTTGAGCTAATTTGCCATTTTTGCATCAGAATGCCCTTCAGCCTTGAAAATCATTAGTGATCCTGTGACCACTGTTCATTTTCTCAGACAGCTTGTAGATTTACATTGCCATTGATCCTCACAAGCCTGTATAGGTTTTAATTTTATGCTGAACACAGTTGTTGTCTCAGCTGGACAGAATTTTCCATGTTTCTTATCCTGCATCATACTTTTGGTCTTCAATCAGATTATGACAGGAACACGAATTTTATTTTTTAATTTCTTTTTGTCTTTGAAATAGTTAGCAGATCTCAGCTCTAACATACATGCTGTTCAGAAACAATTTTGTGTCTGGTGGTAGTTCTACTTCAAGAAATAAAAAAAATCATCACCAGTTTTGGAACAGATTATAAATACAGTATATAACATGGATGTAGCATTACTTGGGCTCGAAAACTCCAGTCACAATTTCAAGGGAAACAGAAAATGCTGTTAAATCATACAGGAAACTCTGAGTTCCCCTGATTTTTGATTAGGTGGTACAAACAGATAAACACAATAAACATTGTGCTTCTGAGTAATGTCCCCTGCACTAAATCAATTCTGCATCACATTGTAGATAAAGGGGAAAAAAATCTTATTTCATAAAAGTCTTAGAGCATAGGTGTTTGATTTTTACAGTTCTTGCCATTTAAAATCACTGTTTTTTATTTCTGATATCCCTTTATTTCTGGACAGAAAAAATTGATTGATCAGTTCCTTTAGAACCCATTTCAGTCTCAGGACCTTATCACTATCTAATGCTGTTTGGGCCATCAACCGGGCAGGGCTATTTTTAAGTGAAGAGATTGGAACTCGGGAGGGGTTGGTTTTATTTTTTCAATAAATGTTCATAATGGATTTGTTAACTATTCCCGCAGTTCAACCTTATCTTGCCCTTGATCTCATATCCAGAACATTAATTGGGCAGAGAAATAGTGCATAAGAACTTAGGGCACAGACAGAAGACAATTTTTGCCTGATCTGGCCACAGAAAACAGCCTATAACTATGATCAAACAGAAGTGCATGCATGGCTGCAGACCACTTCAAAAATGGCCAATCCAGCAAAAATCTAAAACCTCATTACGTGAGAGTTCAGATGAACACATTTCCAAACATAGCATCTTCTATAACTTCTGTCTGCTTTCCTGCCAGTCTCTGAGCTATTTTCAGAATGGGAGGGGGGAAAGGGAGCAAAGGGAGTTTGGTCTAGGGTTTTTCAGCCCCTGCTGGAGTTGGGGACAGGTGTATTGGAGCCCCCCAGCTCCAAGGTGGCAGGGGCCCCAATTCACCCACCCCACCCTCCATCACCAGCTTGGGAATGCCTAGAATTAACTCCCTCTGCTCCATTTCCCCCCTCCAATTCTGAAAAAAGCCTGGGCTGAGACAGAGGAGGGGCTGTTGCTAAGAGAAACTGGCTGAAGACTCAAAGCCAGCAGCTAGATTCTCCTCCCCCCTGGAACCAACAGTGAACTTCTGTTTGGCTCAGGAGATCAGTGCAACTCAGAACACTTCCTGCAAAGTGTTACAGTTACAGTGGAGAGCTGCACTTCTGTCTGCACCATTTGTTTGGTTACAGGTCCTATGATTGGTAGTAGCCCAGAGAATCTCTAGTATCTAAGGACTGAAATCTTTGTTAGTGCCCTCAAAGATTTTTCTCACCCCCGAGCCTCTTCATGTCTTTTCCCTATAATAATATGCTAAATATTAAATATTATAATACTTTAGTTGGCAGGGTATGTGATAGGTATAGGTACAGGTACCTCCTATTTCCATGCATCACAGTTTTACATAAAGTCATCAACATATTTGTGAAAATTACACCTTTTATTTTGAAACTGGAAAATTCACTTCACACATTAGTGGAGTTTGGAGATCTGCTTGGGAATTTTTGAACTAGGGCTATAGGTCTCTAGGAGACACAAACATTTTCTTGTCACTTACCTTTTTTTTGTTGGTGGGACAGATATAGAAATTGTCAATGACTGTGGCAATCCCAGGCTGCAAATTCAGCTTTGTATATAATGTCCCAAAATCTGATGACCTGAAAGAAATATTGAACATCTATGAGTGTTTCTGAAAGGCTTCAGAATTTCAGCCATCTCTGAAAATTACTTTGTAACACATGCATCTGTTCTGATACTTCCCTGCCAGTGGTTTTCTTCTTTACAATGCACATTAAATAGTGGACTGAACTTGCAGCTAAGCAATGTTCAAGGTTTAAGAAAAAACTGCTTGGCCAGTCTGTATTTTCAAATTCTATCCAATACTAAAACTGGTACTGACACTACATCATATGATTCAAAGCCCCTGTGAAACCAAAGGAACTGTGGAACTGTTTTGGCTTGAGTATACTTCCATCCCTGAGAGGTACATTTACACCAATAATTTTAGAGCAAGTCATGAAACTGGATCTCAATGGTGCAGTACAAGAGGCTTTCACTGCAGTACTAGTGGCCCCTTCTCATTTTTTTACCCCAAATGGGTAAAAGGACTAGGTCCTGACCATTATGTGCATATACAACTCCCAGCTAATTCATTAAAAAAAAACAGACCTCAGAGCTGTGTTTTCAATGTGAGAAGATCTTAATTTAGTTTTTGCCCATGTTAATGAATGAACCTGAAAGTAAAATCAAATCTGAAATGTACATATCTTGGATTACACCTTGTATGTAGGGACCTACTAAATTCATGGCAGAAGTGGGGTATGTGGAAGCTCCTTTCATCTTGCATGTTTCCCCATGTGTCCCTCCCTTCTGCTGTTGATTGGCAGGGAAGCAAAAGCTGCAGTTTTTGCCTCCCTACCTGTCAGTAGCAAGCAGCAGAGCCACTGGGGCCCCTCATCCAATCAGTGGTGGGAGGAAAAAATGGTACTATATTTAAAACTGCATATTATATTCTGACCTTCTCGCCGATCTGGAACAAGGTGCAAGCAGGGCCTCTCCACCAATCAGCGGTGGGGGCGGGGGGAACCTGCAAGATTAAAAGAGCCACAGTACACACACCACTTCCACCATGATTTTGGTAGGTCCCTACTCATATGTCTTATTCATGGCTACTTGTGCAGAAAGTGGCATAAAGGGCACAGAATGTGTGGTAGGATGAGGTCAGAGGTAATAATATAAAAGACGTTATATATCTGTGATTTTTTACTGATTGGGTGTATGCACAGAAGCACAGATCACAGTCACTGCCCGAATACATATATTTATATTATTTTGTGGGTAAACTGAAAGTTTATATTTTTACAGCAGCAGCTGCATGACTTTGTTCCATTTATTGTGGAACAATAATATAATGCTGCATATACTACAGATATACAGATATATTACAAATGCAATCATGACTATTTGGCTCTGACAAATAGTTATGTAGAAATCAAAAACACAGCAACTAAATAAATAAACCTGGATAAATGCATTAGGCAATAGGACAGACAAAACTAAACCTGTCATAATTTGGCTGAAGTGATGGGTAAAACTGAAAGCAATGTCTAAATCTCTGCTGGCATCAGGCAAGCATACTGAAATCACAATTAACTTGAACTAGAGCAGCACACTACTATATTCTTGACAGAAGGAAATGTCAGGCCTCCGACTTGCTCAGAGGTAAATTCATAAAAGAGTTCTCCGAACCTTAAAGATGACCCTTTGGATGAGTAATACCACAAGACTAACCAGGATTGCAATTGTACCAAGAAAAGAACAGAATCGTGCTGGTAGAGAAACACAAGGAAAGTTGCCTGTTTCAAAGATCAAAGATATCCATCACAAGATTCCTAGTGTGAGTCTCATTTCTCAGAATGAGATCTGGGTGAAGTGAATAATTTTTTAAGGGAGAGATGCCGAGGAGATGCTGGCAGCTGAGTTATTTCTAGACAAAAGCAAGACAATGGTAAATGGTCAAACCTCTTTATTGTCCAAGACAGGCTGGCTGTGAACTAAATTTAGAGAACACCAGAGAAGAAGATTTGTCTAACAGATGGATGTAGAATTTTTCTAGCAGATTTTTCTACCTGCATCTCAGTGTCTTCACTGTACCCAAGAAAGAAGGTCCTGACTAACAGAAGATGCTGTGTCAGGTTGTTGTTGCATCTACAAACTCTGTTTTACAACTCAGTTTGAAGAGGAGCAAGGAATACCAGTATGTTTGAGACTCTGACCAGTATCTGTATTTGTCAGGATGTTTCTACTGAATTAGAAGGCAAGGTGGATTTGCAACTTACAGGGAGTATCTACACAAGATGTTTAACTGTGCAGTAACCTAGTTTACTGTGCAGTAAGCTTGCATGCCTACATGTGGCATGCTGACCACACAGTAAAAATTGCTAATCATGAGTAAATTTGCTACCAGCAAATGCAGGCATTTTGAGCCCTGGGGCACACAAACAGGGAGCCTAAAGGCACTCCAGACTCCTGTGTCCCCCTGGGCAGGTTGTAGCCTAGCTGTGCCAGCCTGCCTGCACCCTGGTGCCACTGCCAGGCATCATCCTTGCCCATGCTCACACCCATGCCCAACATCTGGGGCCCCAACTGGTTGCAGGAGGAGAATGGTAATCTTGTGCAGTGAAGCAGAGTGGAGGTGCAGCACCAGTCCATGTGGGGCGGGTGCTCCAACACCTATGTCGATGAAGGGCTGTCAGGCCAGAATTGGGAGCTCAGGGTCCTCTGCCAGTTACACAGGTGCACCTGGAGTACCATGACAATCAACAGGAGCCAGGTGTAATGGGTCAGGCACCTCTTGGCCCATGCAAAAAGTTCCTTGCATACCACCTGCAATGCACAGCTGTGGCACACTTGGTGAGCACCATCAGCACAGCAGGGGGCTGGCCCCAGGGCACCTTGAAGGAGAGGACCCCTGTGGGGAGGACAGGAGTGCAGACAGCTCTTCATCCTAATCATCCAGGAGCCCTACAGCCATGATCCAGGGCACTGTGGGTTGGACAGTAGCACTGGACAATGGCTGGCCTGCAGGAGGAGGGCAGGGAGAGGGGTCTGGAGCCACAGCAGGGGCTACCAGGAGCCTGGCCTCTCCTAACCTGGGAATGGGGTGTGGGAGGCAGGCTGCCTATGGCCAGCATCTAGCAGTGCACCTGCCCCTGTGGAGTGAGTGGAGATGGGGGTGAGGCTCAGCCAGTAGCAGCTTGGGCCTGGCCCTGCTTGACTGACTTACCATGGTCCCTGGGCATCTGTGCATGCCTGACCCCCGATCTAAAGGGATGCAGAGCATGGCCCCTGGTACAGAGCATCTTATCTCTGAAATGTTGCAAACTTTCATTAAAATCTTCTTTCTCATGGCTCTGAAGGTCCTGCAGCTGCACACTAGGGAGAGGCCACAGTTGGCAGCTAGGATGAGGCCTCAGGGTTGTCACCACACATAAACAGGCCCCTGCACATACACCAGCTCTGCCAGAGGTGGATGCAGGACCACACCGTCCTCTTGGGCTGGCTGGTGATAGCAGTGGAGGACTAGCTGGTGGATGTACGGGCTTGGCAGGCAGAGGACATCACCCGCAAGGATGCACAGGACTGGCACGAGGAACTACAGAAGCAGGCAGACCAGTAGTTCCGGGTGCACCTCCTGGCCCTGGAGCACAAGTGGATGGAGGCGCTGAGGGAGCAGAATTCAATCCTGGCCTGAGCAGTGCAGGCCATGGATTACAACCACTGGATGCTGGACACCATTCTAGCCCTAGCAGTTGCCTTCATGCTCTCTGGCCTCTGACCCTAGCTCTGCCTGCCCCCTGGCAGGCATCCACTACCCAGCAGCAGGCTTCCACATGGGTCTGGGAGGTGGCAGTGCCCACTGCAGGGCTGCAGGAAGTGGCAGCAGTGTGGTGCTAAGAGCAGCAAATCTGATCCCAAGTTCCTGCATGGGTAGACACTTGCCTAGGAATGTTTTCTTGCAGGTAAATTGATCTCGGATTAAATGCATATGTAGGCACACCCACAGACTACTTAAACTAGATACATATATTTATGTAAGAGGGAGCCAGTGCCTTCTGTTACTTGAAGGTATAGGCAGGGGCTCAGATGCAGTGAGTGCCTATTGCAGGCTTAGCTCCCCAGCAATAGGACATATAGGGCAGAGCCCTGCTTTGTGAGGAATACAAGCCAAGGTGGGGGGAAGTTTTGTCATACAGCCAGTAAGCTGGCATTTATGTTTGGACCCAGTGTGGGGATAGTTTGCATTATAGCCAGTGGGTTTACTCTTTTGTTGTAGTTTATATCGGTTTATATGAGGAAGGCTTAAAAAGTCCCTGACACATGTAGCAAAAAAGGGAGAAGGGGGCAACCAGCAAAGCCCAGAAGCATGGGAAATGCCCTTAGTAGAACACAGTTGTATAGTTCAGACAGAATTTCCTATAGCACCATTCCAGCAGTGGACATTTGTGTGTGGCACAGAAAGGATCTATCTTGGCAGTAAAATGAGAAGACATGAAAAAGTGTGCAGTTCCTGCCTACAGAAGGATGGAAGAAGAACTGTACATTCATCCAGTAGTAATTAGATGTTGTTTTGCTATTACTGAGCTTGTGCCAGTATCTTTACTCTCAGTATAAGCAGCAAGTTCTGCACAAGTCATGTCAGCACTGCCAATGCAGCTATTTTAAAGGCTATGCAATGCATGTACACACTCATGGTTTTCAGCAGAGCACAACTTAAGAAAATAGGTTTAAAGAATCAAAAGCTGTTTTTGATATGTGTTATTTCTGCATTCCCATCATGTTTAATTTAAAGATACAGACACAAAGATAAAGAGACTAGATCCACAGAATGGCATGATTACTCACATACAAATAACAGCACAAACAAGTGCCTCCTTCTGACAGTCAGGTGCCTCTTTCTGAGAGTGTTAAGGAATGGCTGCTTTAAAAGTGTATGGTCTGCTGAAAAATGTGCCATTCTTCCTAACAGGTTTTGTTAAAGAAAAATCACCCATCACTGTAATAACACCATGTTGAAATAACACTCATCAAAAACAAACAATAGTATTGTAGCAAGCACAGCACAGTGTATTTTTGACTCATTACAAGTATAGGGATG